TGGGCATGTTTTCAAACTTAATGAAGAAAAGACAGTTTCTGCCACAAGAGCTCTTCATCTAACTGACAGTGTCAGTCACGAGATGCTCGGAGCTCCTGGCTGCTCTCAATAATGAAACCTTTCTTCTAAACTCTGCAGAGGCTGGGGGAACAGGACAGTGGGCCATGGTGGCAGGGGCGGAGGGAGGAGGCAGAAGAAGTCTCTGGTTCATCTGAACTGTTTCTCTTTTTGCCTCACTATGGACCTTGGTAAAGGTACAAGGGAAACCAGAGGGGTGGGGTTTGGTGGCAGCTGGCAGGTCATGGGAAGTAGAGTTAGGAGTCTTTACCCAAGGGGAATGATGCTATGGCAGCTGTTTTAAACTTGAGGATGGTTCCGTTCACTTCTTGTGGTGTAAGGTCAGCATCTGAGAGATTCTCCTTCAAGCAGCTCATTGTCTTTTCCATTTAGGACACAAAAAACAGGATTGCAATCTGAAACCTGTCTTGGAGATCATGGATTCCTATGATTTTCAAACTTTTCTTTAGTTGTGAAACATTTGTTTCCCCCCTAAAGGAAAGCTATTGCCTCTGCAAAAGCCTAACAGATAAACACAGCAAAAAGAGAGGTAAGAATTTGGTGGTTTGGGGATAGAAAGAAGTGGTGTGTGTGTGTGTGTGTGTGTGTGTGTGTGTGTGTGTGTGCGCGCGCGTGCGCATGTGCACGCGCATTGGGTGTAAACCCCAAGTGGCCATGGAGGTGCTCTAGAAGACACAGGTTTCTGAGAAGCACTGGAAACTGTGGGTCTAGTTCAGTGCCCTCAAACAGAATCAGAGAGACCATGAGACTTGTTGAGGAGCAATCCTGTAATTCCTGGTGGAGCTGGTCTTCTAATTCCCCTTTCCCCTAAAGATGGGGCATCTACTCGGTGCCAGGCACCCTTCTGTGCATCAGTGACACCAAGAGGGAACAGGTTCTGCATGGATCTTCTGGCAGTTGTTGGGAAAGTATGGCCTCACAGGACTCCAGGACATCCTTCCACTCCTTTCCCTTGCTCCTCCAACAACGTTAGGTTCACCCTAAAAGAATTCACATGTATACATATATATATACATGTATATATATATATGCTTTTTGGTGCAATGACTGGTCAAGGTGCTTAATAAATATTACTTCTCTGTCTGTAGTCTGTCCCTCATTGGCTGCTCCTAGAATTGCAGATCCATCGACTATCTTGATTGAAGGAAGTGTAAGGCTCCTGCTTCTTCAGTACTGATTTCTAGCTTCGCAAGCTCTGCAGTGGGCATAGAATAATTCTTGCTCCCTGGAACTCTGCTTGGCTGTCCCCAAAGCTGCCCACCACAGGTCTTCCTGAGATCTCTAACCAGGCTTGAGCAGGGCTGGTCCCTTGTTCACACAATGCAATTATGCCCCACAGTCCATACCTGGGCTGTCTCCATTGCTGTTCCCTGAGTCCCCACTGGAGTGTCTCTCAAAGCCTTGTCTCCTGTTTTTGAAGGAGAAATTGCCCAAGCTGGAGCTCTCAGAAACACTTTCACTATCTTGGAATTCTTGGGGGTTGGCAGACATGGATGTCACTGGCCATGTCCCCACCAGGCCTTGGAGCTGGAATCCTCAGGCAAGAAGGTGGTTCTGCCTGGAATCAGGGGGAGGCCACGGCTCCCAGCTGTCCTTCTCTGTGGATGGCCTTGGCTTTCCAGCTCTTTGGTTCCCATTAGATGGCCTTATAATAGAACTTGGTTGCTTTGCCTGCTTTGGGGACCCAGGCCAGGTTCCTGACAGAGCAGACTGAATGGGTCTGTCCATGCAGTTGTTCTCCCTCCCCAACGGGCCATACCTCTGCTGACCACTTGCCTGCACCCCTGTTTTATCCTGTGCTGCTCTGGCCAAAGGCCGACCAAACTTCTCATTCTTTTCTCAGCTGCCTCACCTATGATGGATGATTTTTACACACTCAAACACTCTCAAACACATATCCAAATTTTGAGCACCTCCCCAAGAATTTTGTAGGAGCAGTATAAACTTATAATAATGTGTAATTGCTGCAGTACCCGTGGTATATTAATAGCCCTCTTCTGCAATCAGTGACGCAGATAAGATGGTCTTCAGATTTGTCAATTACTAGCGCTAGTTGTATTTTCTTTCTTTCTCACTCAAATTTAAATACAGTCATGCACCGCATAATGACATTTTGGTCAATGACGGAATACACATACAATGGTGGTCCCATAGGATTATAATGGAGCCGACACATTCCTATTGCCTAGTGACATCGTAGTCATGGTAATGTCATAGCACAACACATTACGCACATGTTTTGTGTAAACAAACCTACTGTGTTGCCAATGTATAAAAGTATAACACATACAATTATGTACATTACGTAATACTTAATAATGATAAGTGACTATGTTACTGGTTATGTATTTGCTATGCTATATTTTTTATTGTTATTTTAGAGTGTACTCCTACTTGTAAAAAAACGTTAACTGTAAAACAGCCATAGGGAGGTCCTTTAGAAGGTGTTCCAGAAGAAGGTGTTGTTATCATAGGAGATGACAGCTCTGTGTGTGTTATTGCCTGACAACCTTCTAGTGGGACAAGATGTGGAGGTGGAAGACAGTGATATTGATGATCCTGACCCTGTGTAGGCCTAGGCTAATGTGTGTGTTTTTGTCTTAGTTTGTAGCAAAAAAGTATAAGAAGTTAAAAAATATAAAAGTTTAAAAATAGAAAAAAGCTTATATTAATAAAGAATAAATAAAGAAAATATTTTTGTACAGCTGTATAATATGTTTGTGTTTTAAGCTCAGTGTTATTACAAAAGAATCAAAAAGTTAAAAAGAGTAAAAAAAGTTACAGTAAGCTAAGGTTCATTTATAATTGAAGAGAAATTTTTAAAAATAAATTTAGTGTAGCCTAAGTGTACAGTGTTTGTAAAGTCTACAGGCCTTCACATTCTCTCACCACTCACTCACTGACTCAGCCAGAGCAACCTCCAGTCCTGCAAGCTCCATTCCTGCTAAATCCCCTTGTACCATTTTTTTATCTTTTATATCCTATTTTTACTGTACCTTTTCTCTGTTTGGATGTGTTTAGATACACAATTACTTGTCATGGTGTTACAATTGCCTATAGTATTCAGTACAGTAACATTCTGCACAGGCTTGTAGCCCAGGAGCAATAGTCTATACCATATAGCCGAGGTGTGCAGTAGGCTCTACCATCTGGGTTGTGTCAGTGCACTCTGTGATGTCTGCATAATGACAAAATCGCCTAGCGAGGCAATTCTCAGAATGTTTCCGTGTCATCGAGTAAAGCATGACTGTACATTGAGTGAGAAAAGTAAAGTAACATTTGTTTAAGTATGTTCAAAACATTTTAAAATCTTAGATTATCGGTAATAAATTACTTGTGAGCTCCCCAGGGATGGTTCAGACACACTGGCAAGGACATGGCCTTAAGGTGAGGAGTCCAGTGGAGGTCTCTCAAAAGCCATCTTCACCAGCTGCATAGACACTCATAGTCTCTGGGGACAGTGGGGCCTAGTAGTTGGGGTGGCCATGGGTCTCACTGGAGGCGAGGGGGACACTCCTGTTGTTGAGTGTTCCTGAGCGTGCTCCAGTGCAAGGGACTTGCTGGGCCACTTCATGCAATTGAACCCTGACCCTCCAAGGCTGGCCATGGAAGGGCCGTATGGCTTGTGAGTGGGCGTCCTGGAGCCTGTCCTCGGCGAGCCACATTCCCCTCACTCACCACTGCAGCCCCTCCATGGAAGACATCAGTAGACCAGTCAAGAATGAGCTTCACTGAACCCAGTCCGGCCTTCTGTACACTTCCTCCTTCAGCCTGCATTTCCTAGTACCCTCTTGCCCTGCCGCGTGCCCTTTTGGGCTCTGATGCCTGACCCCTTGTGAGCCGCTGCAAGAACAAGAATACAACTACAACGAGTAAGATATGCAGCGTTTGGGGGATGGACATGCTTGAAGCTCTTACTTGAGGGGGGAGGGGGGCATGGGCAATATATGTAACCTTAACACATGTACCCCCATAATACGCTTAAAAAAAGCCACACTATCATGGCAGTGGGGAGTGCTATGCTTTTTCTCCAGGTCCATCCCAGCTTGGAGTAATAAGAGCAAATGCTGCCTCCCACTGTGGCTTCTTATAGTGCCCCTTTCCAGGCATAGGCACATTCCAGAGCCTTGTAGGATGAAAACTGCAGCTATGCTAAGGAAAAACAGCAGCCTTGTATTTTTGAGGGGATAGCAGGACAGTAGCAGGGTGGCCGAGTTTGGGAACTGCCTGTGATTCTGCCAGCTAAGTATCTTGTCGGACTTAACATTTATCCACTCTTCCAGTCCTCTGAATGCTGACCACTGAAGTCCCCAGGGGCCCTTAGAATTTATGGAGACAATGACTCTGTGTCCTCTAAGTCTTTGACAATGCTTAGGGCTTTGATATCTGTCGGCTCTGGCCGTGGTTGGGAGGCTTGTGGGGAGGGGTGGAGAAGTGCTACATACCCTCCTCACCCCCACCCTTGGCACTCTTGCCCCGTTCATCCCTGGAAGAGCTAAGAAACGTTCCAGCTTTGAAGGTGGCCGCTGGTCAGTCACGAATCCCCCAAACAGGTGCTCTGGCCATCAAAGTCTTGAAGCAGTTAAACTTGCTTTCACCTTTGTTGCAGTTCCCTTAAAAGAAAATAGAGAGATCTTCGAAAGGTGGAGGGGGTGGCAGGCCAGAAACGTAAAGTGTGTGCAATCACTCAGATACAAGTGGCACCACTAAAAATTGCCTTCATATATCAGCTTATGGTTTACACACTCTGGCAGAAAGGACACTAAAAGGTCAGCAGGAAAAAAATGTATATGTCAGGCCTGGAGCTGTGGCTCCAAAGGTGGTGAGAAGACACGATCTGGGAAGGGTTCTAGAGGGACCGGCTGAGAGCTTGATGTGGCAGGATTCTGTTTTTTCACTCTTTATTTTGTTTTATTTTTAAGGAAGTTGCCTGCAAACGTCAGCAGAGAAGCTAAGGTATAGACTGGGAGTAACCTCTCTCTCCGACCCCCGGTGACAAGACGGATAGTTCCATTCATCTATGGGTGAGCAGCCGAGGCTCCCTGCATTTTTTTTCCTTTTTGCTTGGATTCAGGATGTATTTGTTTGCAGAGAGGGATGTCATGCTTGTGAATGTGCTGCTCAGTCATGTGCCTGCGGTGAGATCAGAGGAGGGGAGAAGAGACAGGAGGGAAGGAGGTGGTGTGGAGAAAGGGCAAGCTGTACTCTGGGGGCTCTGAGCATGCCAGCTCAGATCCAGAAACAAATCTCCCACCAAATGCTAACGGAGAACAGGCCTTCCAACCCGGAGTATCAGCGAGCACGCTGTAAATTAATAATGCAGCCTTTTAGTAGCAATCGCCTTGTGAAAAAGTCTGGGGGAGGATTATTCATCCACTTCCCCTTCCATCATCCCACCTCTCACAAGAGAAGGAACTAGGAACACTGCAGGTCTCTTAGAGTTTTGTTTAAGACTGACCCTCCCCCTTATTTTATTAACCGTGTAACATTTTCAGGTTGTTTTTTCCTCTCTGTCTCCTCCAGCAAGTCTCTATTGATCACTGTTTACAGTTATAATCCCTTTCAAATTTATCATCCATGACTAACACCACACGTATTGATTAGTGTTGACGGATGTCCCTCTACAGTATAGAACCACCGTGATCCCGGCAGTGCGGTACAGTAGAGATGGGGAGAGGGGGAAATATACATTTTCCCTTTCCCCTTGATTTTCTTTCAGTGGTTTTCTGCTCCCCCTTTTGTTCCTAGCTTAGATGACTACTTTCCTACAGAGGCTTAGCGATCGATTTGTATATTTTTAAGATAATTTCTTTACTCCCACCGAAGCTTTTTGGGAGGAAAAGCAAAGTGCTGTTTTGCTCCTGGGTGGTAACCAGGGGGTTGTGGACAGGTCCTAAAGGAGATCAGATTTATGAGGGACATCCACATGTCTTAACCTAAAGCCTCAAGTAACAAAGATGTAAAGGCTAGTTTTTTAGGGACAAATTAGATGTCACTTGTGACTAAGGACAAGGTGTCCAAAATCTGGACTATAAATGGAGTCATTTGTCAATAGTGCAATATTTTTTTGTGTGTGTGTCCTTTTTTGCTTACTCTCTGCAATGTCCTTTTTGCCTGCTGTTGGCCAAAGGCAAGCGACACTCAGGTTGTCTGTGCACTCATCTGTCTTGCCCAAGCCATGTTTCTGGAGCTTCCTGTCTTGCGACACTCGTGTGCCCTGCTTGTCCTGCATTTGCATATAAGGTACCCAGCCCACCTGCCCACCAGGCTAGCACTGGGTTGTGGAGAGATCTGGTCTTTACCTTCAACTAGCCCCCTCACAGGTAAGCCACCTGGAGAGTCCCGAGCTTGGCTGCCTCATCTGTGCAGTGGAAATGATAATCCTTCCCTTGCTTACCGAACAAGGAAGCCGCGAGGTACCAGCCATGAGAGGGCTTCAAAAAATCATAAAGAACCTTGGAAACCCAAATCGTGTAATTATTACTCTGGAAGCTCCTCTTTTTCTCTTTTTTTATTTCAGCATATTACAGGGGTACAAATGTTTAGGTTACATATATTGCCTTCGCCCCGCCCGAGTCAGAGCTTCAAGCATGTCCATCCCCCAGACAGTGCACACTGCACCCATTAGGTGTGAATATACCCATCCCCTCGCCCCACCTGCCCTACACCAGATGAATGTTAGTCCCATATGTGTACTCCCCTTTCTCTTCTTTCTACTTCTCCTCCTCCTCCCTCTCCCCCTACTCTTTATACTCCAAGGAAGTTTTATTGCTCTAGAAGGTTTTGCTTAGACTCTAAGGATTGCTGCCAGAGGGTCCAAGGACTTAACTTGAAATAGAACAGAGAATTATAGAACTCAAAGGGAATTTTGAGGTCTTGAAGCTCAACCCTTTAATTTTATATTTCAGGAAACTGATGAAGCCTAAACATTCGGAATCACTCATTCTACATCACACAGTGTGTGAGAGATAAGCCCAGAAAAAGAACTCAGTTAGATTTCTGACTCTTAGGCAAGCAACTGCTCCTCTCATCCCCTCCTCTTCAAACCATGTCTCTCTCCCTCCCTCACCTTCTCCTCCTTCTCTCTGTCTTTCTCTTCTCTCTGTCCCTGCCCTACCTCTTTTTCCTCTCTTTCCCCTTCCCCTCTCCCTCTCCCTCCTTCCAGCCCCTCGGCAGCATTTCGGGTCTGGGATGGAGACACAAGGCCTCCTTGTTCCTGGCTTGGCTTTGCAAAACCATTTTCTAAGAAACTCAAAGGATCCATTGCTACAGAAAATTCATATTATAAAGTTAATTTTCTTTCCAAAGGAAAAAAAGGGAGGTATGTTCAGCTCCTAGGGGAAGGCACATCCACGTACCTAGTGTGCTGTTGTGTGGTTCTGTCATGCTGTAGTGCTTTTGAATAGCTGTTTAGTTGACTCATATGTAAATGATATTCTGTCCTCCCTCACCGCCTCTGTCCCCACTATCGACAATAATTTGATGGGATGTTTTTTGCCTCTTAACTTATCTATTTTACAAGTTTTCATGGTCTGTTTGTAATAGTGTTTTTGGTTCTTTGCACTACTTTAAATTAAGTTTCTCATATGGGTCTTATTATACCTGAATACTGCTCAGTTATTTGATGACATAGTTGTAAATCCTCAATAAAAAGATCTTTAATAATCAGTTGGCATTTATTTAATATACCACCCATCTTATTAAATCTAACTCCTTAGATTTAATAGGACAGTTTATTGTATTTTAGCATCAGAATCGTGATGCTCTAGTTATGCTTGAGAAGGCACTTTCATTATAAACTCCTGTTTTTAGGCACTTATAATTTTCTTAAGTAGCACATTTATTTCAACGTGCAATCATATTCTATTCTCTTCTCCCTCCCTCTCTCCATTTGTATCATTTTCTCATTTTTTTTAAAGTTTAATATGGAAATATATCTCAAACTTTAGGGGGAAAGTGTTATCTGTAGCTGAGAATAGCTGAGCAGAGCTGCCAGGCTCCCTGAAATCCATAGTTGTGTTAGGTGCCATCAGTCAACTTGATGCAACTATTGGTGAAGGTGGCTGCTAACCACAGGATTGTGCTCCTGTAACTCGGGGAATGTCCTCCCAAGTGCTTTCAAGTGCATTTCCCCCCCACTGGGTTTAAGCATTTGCTAGTGTTTGCCAGTGGTAGGAAACTGAGGAGTTGAGAAGGCAGAAAGTCGACTAGAATGGAGACAGGCCTCCCAGCTGCTCACCTGATGCTTCCCCTGTCTGGCCCACTCATGGTGGAAGTGTGCGGGCCATGCTCCACTGGCTGGCTCTTTATACAGGCTGTTCCTCCATGCCCACTTCCTCAAAGATGCCTGCTGTAACCACGCAGAGTGAGTCTGGTTCCCTTGTTATGTGTCTTGTAGAATGGGACTCCTTTGCGACAGAACATGTATCACATTTTCAATTTTTTTATATTCAGTGGTGTACTGGACTTGGTTCATATTGTCTTATGAGAGTTGATTGTGTGCGTCTTTTCCCAGCTCCATGTTCAGTGACATTACCTGGATAGCCTGAAATCAGTCACGATGGGGATAGTTCTACAGACAAATGGGCAAATGCTATAAATCACAACCTACTCTCTCCCCATGGAAAGCTGATGTCTAAACATTCACCTACACACTAGTTATGTGATGGTTTGAGACTGAAGCATGTTCCCTTTTCTAAACTGTAAACTCCATGAGAACAAGGACTTCATCTATTTTGGTTTGTGTCTTATTACTGTCACAGTATCTGCCATGACATAGGTGGCCAAGAAACTGAATTTAGAAAGAGGTTTGGGAAACAGAGTCTTATTTAAGCAAAGAGACTGGATCATTCAAAGGATCTTAATCTCACAAGATCAAGGTTCTCCATGATTTACCTCTGAGAATGAGTTATCTTGTACCAGGATCTAGCTTCCTAAGAAGAGGAAGATTCTTAGATGTGCAATTGGTCCCATTGGTATAATGACCCATCAGGTCATTATACCATGGCCTTTTTAGCCATGCCCACTAAGGACAATTGTGTTTAGGCAAGGGAAGAGGCTGGATAATTTTTTGAATTTATTTTTATTAAAAAAGTTGTCTGTGTTCTGCTAGATAGCTGCTTCTATGGGTTTTATGTTCCTGATTCTAAAAGGATGATGCTTTTTGCTTCTACCTTCTCACCATGCTTCTATTTAGGCAGTCACTATCCCTCCAGGAACTTCTAGCTGTTATCTAGTGAAATAGGGTCTAAGCATGAAGTCAGAGAGACCTGGGTTCAAACTTGGGCTCTGCCATAGTTTTGTAGCCTTGGAAATTTATTCTATCCATGAAGCCTAAATGTCTTCATGCTTAAAGTATAACACATCATAAAATTGTTACATTCCATTAGATTAAACAAATATGTATGTGAAGTTGCTGACAAATGTAAAGGTTATTATCAAGTTTTAAGCTTTTTCATCTTTTCTCCTAGACCTGGATTCTACCTTTGTTGTTGTGATTAATTAATTATTGATTAATTAAAAACATTTTCTGTTGAGAGCTTTACTTTCTGTAATGCAAGAATGAGTAATTTGGACAACCATTCCACTGAGAACAGCTAGAAAAATTTGGGGAAAAATATGTGTCATTAGTAGAGCTAACAAGACAGTGCAAAAGAACAGGGCCAAGATCTGGAGAATAATGAAACCTAGATAGCCAAACCTGGAGCAGCATTCCCCAGGGACATCTATTAGAATCCTGGAAGAGGCTGCCTAGAGGAGGAAGCTGGGTGTGACCCTTGACAGTCTGATGGGGACAGGGGAAAAGTTGGAGTTCAGGGACTATCAAAGAGAGAACCTTGGTAAAACTGTCATGCTTCCAGTTGGAGTAAGAGTAAACTGCCTTGAAACTGACATGCAGGGATTAAAGCCCAGCTTCAAATCATCTTAATCTCCTATTGTAATAAGGTGACCTGGGATCCTGGTACTCCTCGCTATCTCTCAAAAGCAAATCTAAATCTTGTCTGGAAGACAATGTTATACAACT